AGATCCAGTCTTGAAGGAGCCTCTTCCTCCCAATAAATGAATGCCCTGCGACTTGCAGGATATTTATGCTTTCTAGCATAACATAAGACCCTGATGATTGATGTCAATGGATTAGAGAGTGCAATTGTATTCGGAGGTTTGAGAAGTAGGGACTTACCACAAAGGTCGTGCGTGATTAGTACTACAGCAACACAGATGCAACAGAGAAAATACAAATACAGTTGATAGTTAGGTATGTGACTAAGTTCTGTGCATAATGAAACTATCAGTGGCCCAACGTTATGCCAGTGAATGACGGCACTTAATTCTTCTCCCGATGACTCGAAAAGCTGATCAATATTGAATGGTAACAGATTAACTCTAACACCAGCCAAAGTAAAAGATAACAGGTAGCACAGAACTTGATTAAATATGACAACAAAGTTCGATTTTAGGTCCAACAGTGCTAAAATAGTTAGCAAAGCAACAAGAGCAAAAGAAGTGTAAGCTCCAGCAATGATTAGTTTATACCTGCTAATAAAAGCATCTCCAATAAAGCCAAAGAAAAGAACAGCAAGGCCCGCAGTGATCCACAAGTATACTTGATCAACTGGAAGATATCCAAAAACGTTTACAGCAATCCCAATGCACAGATCCCAGAATAGCACCAGTAGGGCTCCTTTGGAGTGTATTAACTGGAAGCGATAAAAGGAAGGACACTGTATCCTGTGGCTGGTACTTGATAATGTCCTTAAAAGAGGAGCATTATCGGCCATCATTGGTAGCTAAGTAGAGCAAGTTGTTATTTTTATTTTTTACTGATTAACTGTACCTTTAGCAGCTTTTTTGTGTCAGTTATAGGCTATTGCAAGCGAAGTGAAAATGAAAATTGATAATCATTGCTTAAGGGAAACAAGTTATCACTTTTATTATCGTAAACTTCTATAGAGTTACCATATACCTCACTAAATAGTGTGAGCTACTAAAGGGACATCTACAGATATTTGAATTACTTGCTAGTAAGCACAAAAAAATATTAATAATAATAAGTAAAGGTCAACAACAACACAACATGCCATTAAATGAAAAGAAAGGAATTTGATCTGTCACTATATAATAATAATAATAATAATAATAATAATAATAGTAATAATAATAATAGCATAAAACTTGAGTCACCACAAATTAACAAGTTCGATGTAGAATGATGAGAGGATAGAGAAGATTAATACTGAACTTGTGCCCTTCATTTAAAATAAGAGTAGATGGTAGCTAGGAATGTCATCATACTCTTGGGGTCAGGTGAGCCAGCTGCAATAATATCATCAACATCAAAAAAACGCTCCAAGCCAGCATCCCTGAAATTGAAAAATCAATACACATGTAGCTCAATTTTTAATTTTAAATGTAACACTACATGATGTTTTTATAGCTCCATTTATGGTAAGAGCAGTTATGATATACTTGGCAGTTTGCCAGTAAACAATGAGTTTATGAAATTAGATTAATAACGATAATTAGCCAAACATTCTTAACTCAATAATAGTCTTATCATACAGTGTGGCAGCCACAGACAAAACAAGATTACAAGTAATGCATTTGCAAGCTTCAGTTCCAAAATAATGTAATAAATACGCATCGCAAGTATGAAGTTACTATGACACTCAAAAATCTAAAAACAAGCCGTGGCATGCTTTTAATGTTACTCTTGTATAAAATCAAATTAAAATTCTTTGCAAACTTCTGATAACTTATTACAATGTATATATGTCAACAGTTCTGATAATAATAACATACACACACACACAGACAAGCTATTATTATTATCATTAAACTAAAGCCATCAAAAATATAATCAGGCTGTACATTCTCTAGCCTTGTACTATTTTTAAAATAATTATTCTATGCTTATACACAGGATCTGTACAACAAAACTCACTCGGCAGCTTTGAGGGCAACAGTATAGTTCTCTCTAGCATTAGAAGGCGAGAGATCATCGTAGGGTATGAGCTCGGGAACAAAGTTGTGAAGAATGGCACAGAGTGCAAGACCATCTCTCCAGCTGTTACTGAAATCTTTGACGTCAACATTCTGAGAATTAAGAAAATAATAAATAAGCAAAATTAGAACAAAATTCTAATGCATATCAAATCACCATTTAAACATTTTTAAAGGTGCCAATTTTTGAAAAATAGCTTATACTATATAGCCCATGGTTTTTTCCAAAAAATGGCTCCAAAATCACCCCCAATTCTTATTAAATTTTCTGATACACATTGATGTACTTATGCTATGTAAAAAAATTGAGCCAATTCCGACTTCAATTTTTGGAGTTATGACCATTAAAAAAAAAAACTCCAAATTAAAGGGTACTTTTGCACATTAAGACTCCTAACAATGATTACCTCATAATAGCGGGTTTTGTGTTGGCACCATGCAAGGAGCTGCTGTTGTCCACTACTGCTCTTCTGCCTAGTGAAACTACGCTCAGAACTAATAAAAAACAACAACAACAATAAATAATAACAATAACAACAACAATAATAATGATACATGCTACTAATAAGTAAGATTAATAATGACATACTTTCCTCCATTGGCTTGATCCATTTCAGCCCATTTCTGCTTATTGGCACTTCTCTCTTGTCTCCTCTTGGCTTCTTCTTTCTCCTTCCTCTCCCTGTAGGACATCTTTGGCTCAGAATCTGCCACTGAACATTCAATCAAAAAATAAGACCATTAGTAAGCATAGCATCACTTATAACTACTAGTATCACTTATACCATTTAATAATATAATATTTATATTATTTAATATAATAATATTTAAGTGCATGATATAATTAACTCACTGTTTTTCAGCCTTTCTTCCCTAGCCTTTCGTCTAGCTTCACGTCTTGCTTCATAAGAATCCTCGGCAGTTGATGATGTTATAGTATCATTACTTGAAGATGCAGTAGAAGGTGCACTAGTCTGAGCTGGTTCCTCTTTCTTCTTCAGTTCTCTCTCCCTTCTCCTTGCCTCTCTTCGTGCCTCGTAGCTATCCTCAGGTGGAGGGTTGTCTTGTTTACCGTCGTCACTGGAAACTGATGACTTAGCAACAAGAGAGCTTTTATTGTTGTCTTGTTTATTGTCATCACTGGAAACTGACGACTTAGCAACAACAGAGCTTTTATTGATGGTTGGTTCATCGGCCGTAGAGCTAGAGGGATGGACGGGAGAACTGACAGGAGAGTAACCCTCAGAATCCTAAAAAAAGAATAACACTGTAACTCTACAAGGACTATGATTGTTAATAGCAAATACAGCACTGTACATCTAAATATACTGTACATGTAAATATATTGTATATGTGATTATAATCAAAACTAACTTGGCATGTCATCAACTCTTGATGATACACAT